CTTTATTACACGTCACTTTATTACAAAATTTAAACTTTACATAAATTATCCCCTGCATTATTTTTGAACAAAAAAAAATAACCTTGCCACAACGTAAATATACTAACGAATGTTAAAGTAACTAATTTCTTAAAAATCCAACATCTACGTCAATATGTATAGCATATAACAAATTAACTTTTCTCAATTATTTAAAATTGGAAAAAATAAAACTGTAAATGGCGTTAAAAACCGCATCAATTATAATTTTGAAAGAAAAAATAGAAACGGGAGTTTATACCTTATAATTTTTGATGAGTTTTAATATCAATATTTTTGATCCAATTACAATAATTGTGATACGGCATAATGATATCTACCGGGTGGTAGGAGCCTCCGACTGTTCTGCCTAAGTGTTAGTTTTGTTTATATACAATTGTATTTACTAAAAGCGGTCTCGGAACACAGTCTCATTCTCATGTTTAACGCTGGTATTCTGTGAGAGCGTAGTCGAATAGCGAGTCAACCCATTCGTGTGGCAACAATAATACGAGTACATAGCTGAGCGTGGCTCTACCACACAAAGGTACCATCGTCTCACCTTCTATTTCGGCCAACAAATAGAAGTGCTTGTAGTGCTATGTTGCCGACTGCTACAGATGTCAATGGAGCCACTTATCAACACATAAACTTACAATAAGTTTGTTTGTCATATCAGTGTTATAAAAAATAGTGGAAAAAGATCACAATTTTATACGTGGTAGAGTCACGCTGCATATTTATTATGTTTGTAGCACGAATGGGTCGGCTCAACCGGGTAAGGACCACGCTCTCACACTATACCAGCGTAAAATAACAGCTTAATACTGCTGTGTTTCGTATGGTGAGTGTAAAGATCCGGAGATGAAGGAATCGAGGCATTCCATCTTAGTTCTCGGGGGCGAAAATGTCTGCATTTTGATTCCTAATCGTGGCTAAATATATATGTCTATGGGCCACAACATCCACTTACCATCAGGTGGAATGTGTGCGCGTTTGTTACCCTTATTCTATTAAAAAAAAAACAGTATTTATTTCTAATATACTATATTAAGCCCCAATAATAATGTGTTTAATTGACTACTTAATAAAGCTTAGACTAACGATAACAATTGTCTTTTGATAATAAACACACTAACCCCCAAATATGCTAAGCATCCTATCGGGTTGGTTAAACTCTACGCTCTACATCGGCACAATTTGCATTCCCCATTCTATAATATGCCGCGGGCATAAATCTAATGTAAACCACTCGTAGATTGTTCAGTTACTTAACTCAGTAACTTAACCAGGTATATGATTGAGATATACATTGCAGTTTTAAAAAGCATATCGATTCTTAAATGCATTTTTAAGAAAATTGTTACAAATGTTTTTAATAGATATTTCACTCAGACTTAAATATTTCAAGTTCATGCTAAATATTTAAAATTATATTTAGTGGCAGTATTTAAATAAAACTAGTTTTTTTATTAAATTTATTGAAAGGAGAATTTATATTTAATGTGTTTAAATGTGACAGTTGCCTAGTGGTACGGTTCAGACTGCACACTCACAAAGCCATGTGTTTGAATCCGCGATTCCACTACTGTTTCAGACCACTCTTATCACAAGCATTTTAAAGTTTACTTATGAGTGGTTAATTTAAGCATAAATAATGTCAATAGCTTTACAAGAATTATATTTAAAAAAAAGTAAGCACCTATAAATAAAAGTAAAAATATTTACAATATTTAAGGATAGCTTCAATTAAGAATTATTTGGGTGTATTCACGAAAAAAATATTTGATTAATTAGAAATGAGAGTGTTTTTAAAGTTTTATCATAAAATATAAATAAAATAAAAGGTTTATACAGAAAATAAAAAGATTTTTTGTTGATATATCAGATAACTAGAACCATAATTTGCTAGTTGCCAGGTCGAATGAAATACATTCGACCTCGTCAAACGTTACTTTGCTGAAATGATATTAAAAATGTTAGAAATTAACTACGAGTAGCTAAGATTCGCGTTATAAAATAAAATGATGTATCTTTACAGTAGTGGTCAGCCACCGCAGAGTATAATCTTTGAGTATTATTGAATACTCAAAGAGTATAATACTCTACTTAACGATGCCTCGTTTAGAGACGAAGCAAGTGTCGTATTATATACGGCGTTGTATCTTTCCTAGTGTAGTGGTGTTGGGGGTAGTAGTGTGGAGATTTGTGATGACGGGGACAGTGCACACTATTGAGAGAGGGCGGGCGATGCCCTTTAAACTATGCGAGACAAATCATTTTGTTTTATTACGCTGATCTTATCTAAATGATTTTTAACATGTTTAATGAATATATGAGTATCAAGATATATGTATGGGAAGATTTGGTTTCAGCAATCTCAGCAAGGAGGATATAAAATCCGCATGTTTTCTAACAGATGAGCGGTACTACAGTTTGAATAGCAATTTTGTTAATTCCGGACTAACACTTGAATTCTAACATAACCCTTAAATAGATAAACTAAGAACTCGCTCGGAATGGCACTAGAAGCAGTGAGACCTGAGAAAATTTTTGCACAAACTCCTACATCCTTAGACTACGTGGATACTTCATCAGAACGTCACCCCGTCTAATTGGTGGTTACTCAATACGTGGCTGCCACTCAAGAACGTTTCTTTGAATGGACAGTGTTCTTACGTTAAGTGAACTAGTATAATAATTAAAACCATAGTTCACTGATAGAAGGATATAACAAATATAAAATGTACAGATATGCGGTCAGTATGCCACGATAGTTGACGACTATATAATGGAGCAAATGTCGTTGTCTATGCAAACCGGTTTCGGTGTGGCCACAATAGAGAGTAGTATGCAATCGTACCAAGTATCAACACACGGTTTTGAATTAACCACTCTAGATGTAGGTGGGCTAGGGAAGCTCTACCTACTATTAACATCACCAATTACAAAAGCTCACTCTAAAAAAACTTCAAATTAGGCTGTTCACCTGCGACATGATAGGACACAACTCTTTTAATAAACATCTCTATTATACCTGTCACAAACAGCTCTCTTTGCAGAGCTTGCATTGAACATGCAGCAACTCCAAAAGCTTACTCTAAACAAACTTCAAATTAGACTGGTCACCAGTGTCAAGATACGACACGACTCTTTTAATAAACATCTTCAAACATTTATTTACTCTAGGTGTAACAGACGGCTCTCTTTGAAGAGCCTGCATGGACCACACAAAAACTTTAGCCTAAATTTTATTTAACTGCCTAACGATTAGCAACTACACAGATAAATGCCTTGGTCAACGAGGTCGAAATTCATTGGTAGTATTAAAACATACTAAAATCGTCAGGAAGCTTGGATGATGTTGAAATTATATTTAATTCCTCTCAGACGAGACGTTATGCGACCTGCCCGTCTCAATCAGCCAATCAATGAAACATAATTGTTTACTTATTAACAAATTTCTATTATATTTTAAAATTTAAAGCATGTTTAGAACACATTAAATTAACTGAGTTTATTTTATATGGCTTGCTATTATTATTTATTTGGAAAAACTAATCTCTGACATTAATAAGCTTTGATTTTAATTCACAAATCTTTCTTTGAACTTCATGAGAACCATCAATGGCCCTCTAGTTTGCAGAATACAACTAGCGTTGCATTCAACGCAACTGAAACTTTATCCCATTTCCTACTTCATCAAATCTAGCGCACCTAGGTATATATGCATAGCCTAGACTGTTACAAGCTTAGATGAAGTTTCAATGAACCACTCACTATACGTACCTATTCAACTAAGTTAGCGGACCTCGTTAAAATCAATTTAATAGAGTGCAGTTGGAAATCGAAAAACTGCTTTGAATAAACAGCACAAAAACTGCATGCCTTCTAACCAAAAGCTATTTTCGCTGTATTTTTAAACAATCCAAATTTTCTTTTAAATATATTTTACCTAAATATTCACATCTAGAGATGAATCTGTGAAAATGAACGCACATTGTTGATAACCTACTTTTCCGTAAGTAACGACTGTATAATTTTTCATGCAATGTGTCGCGGATGCGGGATACACAAACAGTATGCCTCTCACGTGCCGGACCGCTGAGCGAAGTTGCGATCAAAGTTTTCCGCTCGGCGCCACGATCCGTTTTAACTTGGACACGTGATACGTAATCGCCGTAACATCAGGATTCATTGAAGACGGGCCGAGATCTGTCAACGTGCTGATACTAACCGAAAGCTCGAGGTGCTCGCTTCCACGCGAGGGGCGAGGCGTCCACACAACACTCACACTGCACTTCGAGACCGCTTGCGCGTGCACGCGTCGCGCAACATGGTCGTGCCCGTGCCCGTGCCCGCGGCAGCTATCGGCCGTGCCCGTGCCCGTGGCAGCTATCGACCGTGCGCCGGCCCGCGCCGCCCAGCGACTGACGCGCGAACGTTGCGCGCGCAATGACCCGCCGCGCTCCCCGTGCGCCCTCTTGCACCCCCGCGGGCGTCAAACACACCCCCGCGACTTCGTTCTGCGCCCGGCGGGATCTCATGCGAACAAACAGCCCGATCCCGCAACTTTTCGAAAGTCGGAAAATATACTTTGTCATTAAGAAAAATGATACTAATATGTACTTTAACTGTCTGCTTGATGTTTTTGTGTGTTCAAATTAACAAATTTGAAGGCGATAATGTTACTTTTACGAAGTTGATTTTACTCAGAACTTTTATGAAGTTAATTTTATTCAGAACTACGCCGAACTGCATAATTTTGCGCTATTGCTATTCCACTATGACGTCAAACAAAAATGACACATGCATTTTGGAACACTGATTGCAGTCGCATGTCATCAAGAACGTAGCCGTGTAGCACCTAAAAAACGTGTCTCAAATTGTAGCCGCTGTCACGTGACGGACCTCGCCTGGAGGGAGATCGCCCGCGAGCCCACCTCCCGCGCTCATCTCGGGGCTCTTTCTCGTGTTTATTTTCAGCCGCGGCCACCGCCGATAGCGCCGCGTGCCTTCGGTCGCCATGGCAACGCACCCCAGACGCGCTCGAGTCCGGCCGACGCGCCACGGAAAAGTCCGAGCGCGAAATACGTAGCTGGGAAAGCGATGCACCTGAATTTTGATGATCAAAACCCAGTTAAGCTGCCTTGACAGCTGCGAAACTTTATTTTATAACTATTGATCTGTTTTATAACGTATGGTGTTAATTTTTTTAATATTTGCATAATTTTTTTTCTTTTTCATTAACTAATTAGACTACTAATACAAGCTGTGTTTAACCTCATAGTTATACTCACATATAATACACAATTTCACACACATATTTTATATTTAAGTCCTGCATAAAACTGGTTTAACGAAAGAACTAATAGTCCACCTGATGGTAAGGCTAGCCAGCAAGGAAAAAAGTTTCCATAACTATGACAAATATTCCCCCAGCCCTTTGATTCGATATATGGGAGGCCTTTGTTCAGCAGTAGACTTTTAATATGCGGCAATGATATAAGGGTATATTAAACGTCTGTTTTGGTTATCAATATTTTGGAACATATTTATTTTGCTGGCAGGATTTAGGGCGTTATTTTAACGTATGTCAAGAAGGAAAGAAAGAAAGAAAATGCATTTATTCCTGTTTAAGTACGCAGCACAACATGGAAAAGTTACTAAATGCAAAGAGATAAATTAAATTAAATGAAAAGTAATTTAACAACATTATAAATTTAAATATAAACGTTTTAAAATACCCTGTGTTTCAGCATGAAACTGCGAAACGGACCGGCCTCAGAGATAGAACTGGCTTTCAGTCTAGCCTTTACTCACTTAACCAGAGGCAGCTTGCGGCTGTGCACTCAGCTCAGTGCTTGTATGTTTTTTTATAGAATAAGGATGACAAACGAGTACACAATCCACCTGATGGTAAGTGGATGCTGTGGCCCATAGACATCTACATCTATCCTCGATTAAAAATCAAAACGCAGATGCGTGGTCACCCCTGAGGCCTAAGATGAAATGCTTCGTTTCCAGTAAAAAATAGTCTCCGGATCTCTACACTCACCATATGAAACACGGCAGTATTAAGTTGATATTTTACGCTCGTGTGTGAGAGCATGGTCCTGGCCCGGTCGAGTCGACTCAATCGTACCACAACCATAATATAGTTGCAACGTGGCTCTATCATGTACAAAAATTAAAAAGAAAATTCGCTTCGCTATCGATAAACTTTCGCATATCAAAGCGTTCTATCGGGATGGACTTCGCGTTCGCGTTCGCGTTCGCGGATGCTTTAGTCTGCCCACAGACACCGTGCGTAGCGGATGTTCTAAATATATTGAGGATTGCGATATAATTAATAATAATAATTCTATCGCGATGTGTGTTGCCTAGGCATCAGTGTAGTGCGATATCACACAGTCGTCCCGCCCCCTGCCGATTCCCTGTACCGTTGCTCAGCAGAAGTACATTCGATTCCTAACTGTAAGGTCTTTAAACGTTTTTATAGC